GCAGGACGCAGAACAAGTTCGGTTCATACAACACCACAAAGTGCTAATTAAAATGCTTTCGTCTTGGAGTGGAACGTAAATTTGGTTTAAAAGAAGCAGCCTGGTTGAAACTAACAGCATGCAGCCAGTGCTCAAAGGGTTATGCGAAGTAAATGCAAGAGAGATCAGGCAACATTAGTATATAATCTACCTTCCCCACAAAGAATTATAGCAAAGTTTAAAGAGACAGTATCCCCTTTGGAGAGAGCAAAACTGAAAACCTTTCTTCCCTCAGAGACCAAAGTCCATCGTCTGGGAAGCAATGGTTTCTTTCCAACTCCCAGCGTAAGCAACCTACCTATACCTGGAAGCCATGCGACGTGCAATCTCAATAGCCAAAGGATAAAGCCCTCTGTATCGGTACGTCAGAACAGCCAGATCATTTACCGGCACCTCCGCCCCGCTGCTGCTTCCCTGGAGCTGCTACACGGAGCTTGCAAACACCCGGTTCCCAGTGACTAGTCTCCCGTTTCTCAGCAGCGAGGATGACAAAGGGATACTGTCCCTTTTTGACATTAGATTTACAGATCAAAGAAAATTAAGAGAAAAAAAAAAAATCTGCTTTTTAACTTATGTAAACTGAAAAAAAGGACTTGAACATCAGCAGTTCATAGCTTGAGATGCATCAAACATACATAAGGGAACACAGGAGCACAGAAGTAATCGCAGCAGATCGTCCAGAGCACGCTCCGCTACGAGATCGAAACCGAGCTGAATGGAGTAAAACTCTCCCCATGGAAAAACATCTAGCTTGGCACCATAGGAGAATACAGACTTAAGTTTAATAAAAATAGCTTCTAATCAATACTTCAGAGTTCAAAAGTTCAGCAACAAGCACATGATCGGCTAACCCCTTTACACAAACCAAAAAAGTCTTTCCTGCCACAAATGGCAATTCTTCATCACTGATTTCTGTGGCAAAAGCTCACATCCTGTAGAAGAGCTACATAAGTCAAACTACCACCAAAAGAGGCTAGAAAAATATTAGGAAAAAGTGCTTTCAAAACCAAAGTAAACATTCAAGAATACACTGTAGGTGCTACGTTTTTGACAGCTCACTCGACTTGGAATTTTACCAAGCAGTAATATGAAAATTAAATGTCTTTGCTAATAAATTATTCCTGATATTTTTTACCCTGTTATAGAGTATCTTCCATGTCAAAGTTGCCAACTCAATTCTCTCCCCTACTTAAAAATATCATATAATGCAAAATTACAGTACTGTGTATTTTCTCTACCCATATCTGCAAAAATGGAAGAAATATTTCATATGGAAATAACCAATTCTTGCAGTAACAGCTTGTACGTTTACAGTTTGTGTGCTCCCCTCCCCATTCAGAAAAGCCTCTGACTGCGTAATACTTGTCGCTAGAACACAGTAGTGGTTCACGTGTTATTGAAGGCCACAGAACATTTAACTACATCTTATCTTCCTATGTACATATGAAAAGAAAAAGCAGGACACTTGGGAAATCTGTTTTGTGATATGCAATCGGATCAGAGGCGGTCAATTCACTCTCAGGAGTATTTTCATAAAGGGAAATTAAAGAAGTTGAAAACCTGATAAGGATAAAGTGAAAGTCCCGTGGTTTTAAGTTTAGGTCCAAAAGCTATCAATCTTGAGACTAGCATTTACAGGCCCTTTGCACAATTACTCCAATGAGGGTTTTAACTCTAAAAAGTATATGCAATACTTCTACCTGCAGTCCTGCAAAACACTGGCTACACCGATTAAGCCCCACCGTAACGGGAATATACTAGTGTTGTTGATTAGACAGCTCTTCATTAACAGCACAAATTAGTGTTCTCCCTACCGTTTTAGAAGCGCAGAGCGGGTTAAGTCCCCAAGCCAAATGCTTTGTTGGAACCAAGAGATTAAAGTGAGACTCTCTGCCATCCATCTTGCTAATATAAATGGAATGACATTGTTTGCATTAGAAATTTTCCACTCGAACCCTTTAAGTGACACTAGCTAACAGGTACCAGTAATACGATGTTGTCAAATCTCAAAAATAGACTGGCATGGAGTTCAAACTGTTCAATCTACTTATAGTCTTCTAAGACAAAAAATAAACACTGCCCTGCTAAGGGGCTGTTGGCTAGCGGGTGCACGGATTTCGAAGTCCTTCACTAGTGAAGGACGAGTGCATAATACTGTAACTCAGCACAGAAGAACACTGCAATCTCCATCACCTACATTACCAGAGCAATCTAACCAGTTCCTCACCTGCTGCTGGCGGATGCTGGCCACTAACTGTTGGCAAATCCAAAGAGCTATCAGACATGACATGCTTAAGATCGCCTCCCACATCAGCCAGCTTCATGTCAAACTGAACAGACAACGCATCTTCAGAATCCTCCTTGCCGACACTGCTGCCACCAATAGAAGGGAGATCCAGAGACTTCACAGAAGCAGAGTCTTCTTTGGCCTGCTTGAAAGCTGCGACTTTATCCACCAGGGACTTATCCGCGCTGTTGCACGTGGAAGAAAACTTGTTAGAGTGAAAGTCGGCAAAATCATCATCGCTCTTCACTGAAGAAAGCGTGTTGTCCTTCGCCTCCTCAAAGCCTGCTCCAGAGCCTTCAAGAGAAAGCTGTTTGAAGATATCGTATTTGGTGGGCGTAGCAGCAGTGACAGAATTCTGCCCACTCTTCACCGTGCCGGCAGATGAGCCAGACTGAGGAACAGGACCGGCCTCCAGCTTAAGTGCATTGTATTTGTCATCTGGTTTTTGTTCGGAAAATCCACTGCTATTGTTGAAAGCCATAAAATCTGCAAAGTCATCTTGTCCACTGGCTGATGCGCAATTAGAAAATTCCCCAAAAAGGTTGAACTCTCCAAACTCATCACCTAAGCTTGAACTTTTGCTGGGTGCTGGCTGGGCAGTGGCAGATGGAAGGGGAGGTGGAGGAAAGGAGCCCGATTTTGACGTATTAAGTGCAGGTGGAAAGGATGGCTGCTTGTTTTCTCCAGTAGAGGAAAAGAGATCCAAGTCTGCTAGATTCAAAGAGGTCTTTGCTTGTGTTTGCTGTTTCGACTGAACGGGCAGAGAAGGGAAGGATGTAGGGGAAGATTTTTTTAAGTTTTGTCTTTTGTAGGTGGCTCTAATGGTGAGATACTGTCAGCGGTTTTAAAATCTGTGAAACCATCATCGGTTCCTGCAGGCTTGAATTCTGCAAGGTTATCTCCTGAGAAAAGAAACAACGAAAAACCAGTAGTAAGACACTGCAGCAACAACAAATACATCATACTCACACCATGCAAGCAAGCAAATTATTTCATGCAATGTCAGAAGTTTTTATGCAAACTATTTAAATTAAGACCTCAGGACGCACGTAGAACTGCAAACTCAACTTCTACGAACCACACAAGTTTCAAGGTCAGCAATTCTAATATTCATTCCAGCAAACACTTCAGTCTTTCAAGCGGCCTCAAAGTCATATTAAATTCCCTTTACACTGAGTTACTATCAAAACATACCATGACCAACAGATTCAAAAGGTGATCAGTACTGTCTCATGCAGCTTCCGCATGAGTTCTTTTTCCCATGTCATCCTTCCCGTATTTGCCACGCAATGAACGTAACCTTGAATTTCACTTACACCAATGTGGTATTTGTGTTCTTACAGAAGCAATTCTCCCCCTTCCCTGCCTTCGAAGCATTGCCCAGATGCAGTTTCTTCACAGGGCATCAGCAGATGGTTGAGACAAAAGCAACCCTGCTGATCAGCTGAAAGGGGAACATGGCCGAGACCAACCGGACTCGCCTGGTGGCTGAAAGCACTTTCGAGAAGAGTTCTCTGGAAAGGAGGCAGCCAGCCAACAAGCCTATCCAGCTGGGCACCACAGGAACCCAACAGGTGGAAGAGACAAAGCCCCAAACAGAAAAGAATGCAAGGTGGTGATCCTAGCGTGTTGGTTTAGAACATTTTTAAGCTCTCATTTTAATTTACCACACTTCCCTTCTGTCAGGTTCACCTAAACAGACAACAGTGTTAAGTGATCAGAACTTCAGTAAATGCAATATAATTCGGGCATCTTCCAGCTTCTCCTAAGACTGATTCCAGTTTTACTAGGAAGCTTGGAGACAGACTTCCACAGGACAGTCAGCATGCTTCATCAGAAGATGTGCAGATCTCTAGTTCAACTACATACTGAATGTAAGAATTAGAATTTAAACCTGATTAGACATTAGGTAGCAATGTTTTCATTGAATTTACAGTAAATATTTTGGTGCACTGATTTTTTGAGTTTCTTCCTGTCTGTACATAATTACTCTTTTTATAAAGCATTTTCTTTTGAACATGAAAAATGTTGAGTTGTTTAACCCATTCACCAGCACATAGGTACTTAGAGTACTTATAATTTTAAAGTAATTATGCATACTGTAACACAAGTGTCCAACAAACAGATTTTGTTCTATTTTAGAAGTACACCATTAACATTTAATTCTTAAGCTACCACACAGTGTCAAACTTCAAATTAGTTTAACCAAGATTTAAAAGAATACTCTTTATAACGGTAAAGGACCACTATGATACCTGACATATTCTTCCATTCTCCCCCCCCTCCAAATCAATTCACTCTGCCCAGCAACAATACAAATATTCCTGAAATTGCTACTCACTGATCAAAGCTAAAACATCACAGCAAACTACACTTACTGATGAACTGCAAACTTTTCCACTAGAAATGTAAGCTGGTGAAAGGGTTAAGAGCGGTCAGACCCAGACAGCAGGCAAATATAGTAACTTTATGTATTTTAGAACATGTACGGAAAGAGACAAAATGTTGTCATTTCATTTCATTGCATATATTTAATCCCGAAGAGGCGCTAAGCATGAAAACCTCAAAAACATTACAGCAGTTTCAGAACTCAGCGTCTGAAAAGAAGAATTCTGTCTTTGAAAAAACAAGTTAGGAGCGAGCTCGGGTAAGCAGTTTTACCCCAGAATCTAAAGCTGTCTTCCAATAATGAAACAAAATGCTGGGTATAACATAACTCTGTGGAAGTCAGGTTAAGTTAGTAACGTGTTTATCTTCTGATCTGTCTACTATTAATATATGGAAGTTTTTCCCCATCTGCTTAAAAAGATGAGATTACCACTTCCATTGCATAGATGAGTTAGATACAGCTGGTTCTGCAAGAGGCTTAGGGAGACTCTGCTTTTGTAATTACACAGGTGTTGCACCTCAGATGCCAGCCAGGTTTTACTTTTCCCAATCAAAAACAGTTAAACACAAATTTCAAAGTGATCAGATTTATTCTTTGAGCACCAGAGACCATGAAAAGTTTAAATTCTGCCCCAACAACAGAAAAAAGTTGCGATTTTGTCCAGTAGCATCTTGTTCTGCCTTCTAAGAATACATGACCGCTTAGTTAAAATTAACAAATTCCAGACATATTGTTATTTTAAAACTCAGAAGCATCCAAAACAGATGCCAACTGTCTAGAAACACAATTTGTAGATTATTTCAATAGTATATTACACTGTTTTGTCAGGATACTTCCTGCTAAGTTGTTTAGAGGAGCAGAAGCACCATTATTCCAGAATTCTAGCAATGGAAATTCTGCAGCTCAAAGATAATAATGAAAACATGTTAAAACAGCTCCAAAAACCATCCTGCTTACCTAGGTATTTGCTCTCTGATGGTTGCTCTAATTCACGGAAAGCACTATACTTGTCTCCACAATCTAGTGAATATAAGAAGAGGAATACATTTACATAAAGATGCCATGAATTCATATTGTAGATTTTACATTGACATAATTGCTTTGATTTTTAAAATATTGTTTTATTCAGTATCAAAAGCAAGGTACGAAACATTGCAATAAATTGCTCATAGTGGTTGTATATTTTTCCTTTTACCTGTAAAGGTAGCTGTACTTTCAGATGGCTTCTCAGCTGCAATTCCTTTAAACACAGCATACTTATCAGTTGATGAGAGTGTCTTAGTACCTGGGAGTGGCATTAGTAAAGAAGGAACACTAAAAACAGAAGAGAGAAAAGCAAAGTTCCTTAATTTATCCATAAGAAATCCACATTTTCAAGTTTCATTTAAAGAAGTGCCTTATTATGACTACACAATTCGGATCACTAAACCTAAGCTTGTACCCTAAGGGGTTCTTCATCAAGAACCTGATGTAAACTACCTTGATATCTACTAAGAATAAGCGCAGGTAGACAGGCAGCTGGGTAACTGATGGGTGAATTCAGACTTTCTCTCACCTAATTCTATTTCTTTAGGCCAGAAGTCAATTTTCACCCTTCTTGATTTTAATTTGCACCCAAACATGAGCAAAACACTCCAGAACTTTACACCACAGGAATTCTCAGCCCAGCAGACAACAAGCACATGGACATGCTCCAGGAATCACTGCTCTTTAATTTATCAGTTTGCTCGGTGCAGTGTAAGAACAATTCTCCCCGACAGAACTAGATACAGTAAAGAGTTAAAACTGCATGGGATTTTGCCAGCTCCATACTTTCAGCTTATCTATTTTTTATTGTATTTCATTACATATTGGAAAATTAAGAGACTAAAGTGGAACCACTGTTCAAAAGGAAGGAAAGGATAACTTTGAATTTCTGTCAGTGAAAATCACCAAGGCTAGCGAGCTATCTAATCAGCAGAATAAGCAGTAGTCCACAGTTACACAAGCAAATCTTTTTGCACACAAACATGCTCTACTTTATACAGTAAAACTGCCACAATAACTTAACACCATGTTAGCAACTGCTGTAAGATTTAGAAGACGTTCTGCGAGAGCTTTGCTTGCCCTCCACACAAGCCCCCTTATCAGATCTTGGCAGCTCTACAGAACAACATCCTTTACATATGAATGATGCATTTTACCTCTCATTTATGTCATTCAATACTCTGCACATTGAAAATGTGAATGAATTTCTACGGCTTTGGCCCGAAGCAAGAAACTTTTGAGAGCCATTTAAATCTCCTTATCAGCAGCCTACAAGCAACATACAAACCCTGCACTTGCAAACACGTGCTAATGGTGGTCCGTGATGCCTGCAGACAGACAGCTCAACGACAAAAAATATAGCTTATGGTAATATAATTAAATTTCACATCACTGCAAAACAGGCTATTAGATATGCAATCTTGGCAAATGTAATGGTTAATCATCTGTACTCTGCAGATGGCTTTTTTTAAATAAAGCTCCAGAAGCAATGAGACTATAGCTCATTGTAACATTCCGTTCAAAACTGAACGCTTTTACAACTGAATAAAGAGAACTGCTGCAGTGAAAAAGAAACACCGGTTTTAAAAATTATTGTATTTTTAATGATCCCCTACTTCCCGTTGTGGAATTTACAAACAACGTTTCTGCTAAAACTTTCAGTAACAGAATAGCTTTAATTGCAACATGACGTCCAACGCAAATTAAGATATACTTAAAACAGAGCATCTTCAGACGCATGTGGCATCCACTGACATCAGCAAAATTCAATTTCTTACATACGCTGTGCCGAATGGCATTCTAACAGAACTATTTGTGCTAGTATCCCCATTTGACGTCACTGGTGAGGAAGCAGCCGGTGATCACTGCTTACCTGGAAAGCGCTCGTTCCGTCTGCAACGAACAGTCAGTGCACTACACAGAAAATTCGCATGCCTACTGTCAGCCACCTGGGAGGTACGTACAAGTTTGCCATGTGCAGTAAAAGGAAACAACGCTGAAATTTTGTAACCACAGGACTTTGAAAGATTAATTGCAAACTCTCAGAGGGAGTAAACATGCTTGCTTATTTTGTAATACAGAATTTGCCTGATCCGGAATTACGTTTTGGCAGTCTCCCAGCTGAAAAGCCAAGACTGCTGAAGTCTGAATGAGATTTCAATTGAGATTTATAGTCAGTTATTGGAAATTTAAAGCACCGGCCAGAGAAGCGACAGAAATAACAAAAACCCTCTCCACTGCAGTTCTCAGTCATCTGAGAGCACAGCGTCATGCTCTTTGCATGAATTTTGGGGTCCATATTCAGGACCTGAAGACAGATCTTGATGTCAGCAAATGGTTTCTATCAACTCCAACAAACATGGGGTCATACTTTTAATGGAAGCACACAGCACTAAACGCAGAACTCCTCTGTCCCAGGGTATTTTTTCTGAATAGCTTTACGTAAGATTTTTGCCTGAATGCACAGTATGAAGTAACTTTCAATTGCCTGTGCAGTAGTATAAACACTTGGAAACCTATCCCCATACCCTGTAAACGCAATTTACCTCAGCGTGATGACTAGAATGCTAAAGAATGGCCAACCACCTCTGGCACATCAAATGTCTTTTTTGATTCAGAAAGCCTAATTGTAGTTGTAACAACCTTCAAAAGAAACTGTCAGAGTAGAAGTCAGGTGACAGAAGAAAATTACAGGCTAGAAAGCTACCCACAAAAGAGAAAAAACACTTTATTTCTTAAAAGTGTTCCAAAATACTGAAGGGGTGGAAATCAAAGATCTGCTACCTGCTCCGGTGCTGCGAACTGGCTGCTTTGGAGGAGCCAGCTACATCCCCTTGGAAATCAGTGAAAGAGTCATCTAGTGAGCCAGACTTTGAAGCATCTTGGAACTCCTGGAAGTCATCATCTTCTGGTTTTATTACCTGAATCACAAACAACATGTAAATTGCTATATTGTTGTCTTTTCAAACTGCCATATGGCATGAAAGCAGTTCAGAGTACTGTCACTGACTTAAGCGGAAAAAAAAAAGCAACAGACGGAAACAACCTTTCAACATTTGCACGCAAAATTAGCATGGTCAGTGCTTCCACTTCGCCTGCACCTCACCCCACTCAAAGCACACTCGGGGTGTACAGGATTACAAGTAGTAGGCATGAAGAACAGCTGAATAAGGAACTCCTTTCACATTGAATGTGTTACTGATCATAGCCATGTAATCTTTCAATACAGGATAAATATTAGTAATGTAAGTCAATCAATAAATTTAAATCAATAATTTTAAATCAATATACACAGCAAAAGCATCAGAAGAAATATCTTCTGAAGAAGGGTGAACCGTATTTGCAAACAGCAAAATTTATCCCCCAACACGATTTAGAGTGTTGCAAACCAAAGGTTTTCACAGTTCTCAGCTTCTCCTGAAAACTCTGACTTCTTTTACCATCTAACAGTGTCTGTGGTATAGCTTAACCAAAAATTCCATTTTATGTGCATTACAAAACCCTAACTACAACTAAAATCCTCTTTTGGTGCAATTAGTTTGTCATGGAGAATGCTTTTGTACCTCTTCTAATGCCACCAGAAAGAAACAGACAAAATAAAAGGAAATCCTTAGCCACGTGACTTCATGTTTTCAGACACCACGTGCTAGATTCCAGCTCCATTTTTTGCTGTTTACTTCGAGTCTGTTGTCATCAGGTAGCTCTGAAAAAGTCAGGCTAGTTCTTTTTCCAGGACAAGAGCGAGTGGCCAGGCAAGAGGGGCGAGCTAACCTGCGCGGGCGCGTAGGGTGCCCCGAATCCTCCGGAAGGCTGTGCGGCAGCTCCGCCCGCCGGGGCCGGGATGCTCATGCCCGGCAGCTGTTCCTCTCTGCAAAGGCAGAACAGCAAAGACAACCAAATAAACACAACAGAAAGGCACGTTGCACTCTCAGCTCCCATTCCTGGCTTGTATCACCGAAATCATGAAAGAGCAGCGCATGGTCAAGCTTCAAGGAAACCTTCCAAACAAAAACATGCTATCAAGAGCCTGTAAACTGAATCTTACTCAACACCCTGACTGCTGGAGTTACACCAAGGGTAACGATACCCACCCAGGTGGGCAGAGGCTTTTGACACCATTCTCGTTTGGCTTTTAGTAAAGCAACCCAGTAAGCACTGGCAACCAAAGCTATGCTAAACCTTATGTGCACTGCATCGTCTTTCCTACACAGCACTCCCACAAGGTACCTCAGCTTGGTTCTTCACTGCTCAAGATATTCTTGCCTTAATTTTCATACAAGGCTGGTATTTAGAAATAAACTGCTAAAGAGATGACACTACACTGACAAAGAATGGAAGCCTGAAATTAATACTCCACTGGTTCAGGAGAGAGGTAACAAGTCTAGCTATTCACAGACTAAGGGATACAGGAACCATATAGTTTGAGGAAAACAGATGTGTATTCAACAGAAGAGACAGTACTTTATACCAGAAATACATATACGTGTGTTTGGTAAGTATATCTAAGAACTACCTTCAACTGACACTAAGAGAAAGGAGTAACTGAAATGTAAGCGCAGGGGATGAAATTCTAATCCCACTGAAGTTTCCAGGGGAGTTTCTCCTCCGGACTTCAACAGAAGTAGTATTTTACTACAGGCGTGGTATACCAGCCACTTGCGCTAACTCGCAATCTATGGCAGATTAGTAAAGTGACGTGCCTTTCTGCCCCGATCTCCAACGTGTCAGTCATACCTGAGTTACTGCTATCATAGCCAGGACAGCGTAGAGCTCTTCTTTTGTGAGCTTCCCAGGGGTAGTACGGTTGGCCAAAGCCCATATCTGTCCAAGGGTCTCTCTGGGCAATCCAGACGACATCAGGATAGGATAGAGTTTAGCTGTATCTATTCCAGCAGGAGTCAAAGTCGTTTCTAAAATTTTCTTATACAACTCTGTTAAGAGGGAGTCAGTATTAGGCAGTGACAACTGCTGTTTTCAAGTGAATTTAAGATTGTTGTTCTATTTTGTCTGAAACTCAGCATTATATGAAATTAGTAACACAAAGTGTACAATCAGGCAACAGCATTTTGGCATTGTATTGTATAGTGTTACTATGTTATTTGCATATATAAGATAAACAGTCTTAAGAAATCAGCCGGCTTAATTACAAGACATGCCAAAAACCAGACTACCCATGAAAGCGATATTATCAGCACGCAACCTCTGCTAGCATAATCTTCTGTCATCACACATTCTACATTAAACACTTAACATGCTTGAATAAAATCCATACTTCCTCAAATGCAGATAAAGGCACCATAAACACAGAAAGCATGAAAGATATAGGATTCATGTGATGACTGAAGAATAATGCTTCGATCAATACATGGCAACGTAAGCACACGTACGTTCACACCTTACACTGCCCACTTGGCTAAACGCCCACTTGCTTGTTTACCTGGGACCAAGCTATCGTTGTAAATCCAAGGAGGCAGCATTTGCTGAATTGGGTCCTGTGAAGGGAATACTCCAACTCCTAAATGTATTCCATTCAGTAAGAAAAAGACAGACAGTTGTATTAGGACATATAGATTCAGAGTATAAAGATTTTAGAGACCAGATCATAGCTGGTCAGTATCACTTGGCATTTCAGGCAAAGATTTCAGATAGGAATCACTGTGCTCAGAGGAAAAACAGCTACTGCAGGAATATGTATTTCAAAAATAATAACTAGGATGACTTGTCAGTAACAGGAAGAATATATTTATATACATAATGAAACAAGGAGCTCCTCATTCACCCACCTCCCTCTTAATTTCTAGTTGTACAGAAGGTCAAGTCTCTTTGTCTCTTACAACTACATAGCAGCAGCTCTGTGCCATATCAGATTTAGTCTTCCCATCAACTACACGCTATTCAGACTACTTGTGGAACAAATAAATTCATACCTACCATAAACCCCACAATGTCCCACCAGAACTTCCTTATCAGGGAAATCCACAAACAGCATATTAGTCTGAATCTCAGCAAGATCTTCTCTCATGTTCACAAAAACGTACCCATTGCCCCACTGCTCCCAGCCTCCAGATCCAGAAGACATCATCGCCGCCTTCACTACCACAGGCTTTCATGATGCGATCTGTCACATTTTACTCACTGTGATTCGGTTATTTCCTCCTCCACTGTGTAGACTCTTCCTCTCAAGCCTCACGGTTTTACTTCCTATCCAGCTACCCCTGCACAAATTTTATCTTCATCTTGGATGGAGCTCTGACGAAAGTCAGAATTGTTTCAGATTTCATTCTCTTTCCCAGTGCCTTTCCATCTCCTTATCTTCCACATCGATTCTCTCCGGACTGCAGTCTAATTTCTACATCCCACAACTCCAAGCACATTTTAAAATAAGCAATTCCTTCCATTTCACCAACCAAGTAAAACAAATTTGCTACTTCCTCCCATCTCATTATTCTTCAGCTTTAACCACCCTTCCACACACTTCTGCGTCCTACCAATTCTTGCTTCTCACCCTTGAATCCCTCTGATAAAATTCAGCCCCTTAAACATCAAATAATATGAGAAGTGAAAAGGAACTCTCTGCCATATTTAGTCATTAGATAGGAGAGTCTTACTCAAAACTTTGAAAACACCCAGGTGACTAAGGGTCTGCCAGTTTTCAGCATTATCACTTAAATACTAAACTTCTGTTCCTCATGAAGTACTTCAACTCATCCTTCAAAGCCTCCTTAACAATATTTGGAATTATTCTTGACTACTGTTGCTCTACATAATCACTTCCAACACCCTCGTCATCTGCAGGCTGCATTTAAACTCGCCCTGTCTTACACCCTTAAACCAGTGTCATCTCCTGCCTCCTCTCCCCCCCACAGTTTTTTGTTTAAATCAAGCATCATATTGTGTTGGATTGGTACAAAATCAGCAATGCAACTGACTGACCTATGCTATGAATAAACAAACAGCTCCTATTTCATGCTGTATATTCTTTCAAGTTAAGTCACTTTTAGCAATTTACTGTGTATTACACAGCCCTTCCACTTATTAAAAATGTCCATTTAACCACTTCATCTCATCCAGTAATGTTTTTTAAATATATTGGATAAGAAAACACTTGAAAGCAACACATCCAACGACTGAGGGGAGGAATACATGAGTTTTGATTAATAAAAAGTTGTGATACTTCTAGGAAAGAAAACTGCTTAAGAGAGTGCCCGATTCAATTATCTACAGACCAGAAGCCTTCCCGCCCTTCTCCACCTCCTCTGACCCCCCAGTAAATTGAAATTACACAAAGGGCTAATTTATTTTTATCATACTTGACTACAACGGAGCCCACATTTCATGTTAGCCTCGAGTACAACCTCCGAGCACTAACCAAGGTACACCAGAGATCTTGCATTTATTTTGATGAGAATAAAACAAAACCAAACAGTCAACAGCCAGCTTTAATAAAATCCACATTGGAACTAAGGCTTGCTTAAAGTTTTCATTTAGTTCAGCTTTTGAAATGTTGATCCTTAAAGCACAGATAGTTTTAGACAAAATGCACCTGAGCAGCAAACTGTCTGGGAAACAAGTATTAGCTAGCTAAGAGTTTTAGCCTGAAAAGATTTTATCCCTTCAAAGTTAAAAGATGAAAACTCACCATGACACTGATCATCTTTAAGTTTCCTTAAATAACTAAAAAAAAGTAAAAATCTTCATAGAGAGCAGATCTTTTTTTTTCCCCCCAAGAAAGAGGACAGAATATTTTAAAACAGCAGACCTGATTAAGCAAACACGTTAAAAGTGATTACAGCAGTAAATTCACGTGGAAAAAGTTCAGAGCAAAATCATAGTTGTTATACTTTCAGCAAGGAGCAGGATGCACTGACTTATTATTCAAGCAGGCATTCAGAGCAAAATGATGCAGGATTGGGCTTAGAATTAGTGTACACAGTATTAGCGTTCAAGCAGCATCTTATTAGATTTAAATTCCATCAAATGTTTCATTTGCTCACCACACTCTCCAACTGCTCTGTTTTGTTCTGAAGCCTTGTGCACCTCTGCAGCAGTGGTACCACTTTCACGTCCACCTACAACATCCCAGTCATTGCTGGCTTGACTGGGATGAACTTGGCGCACAGTCGAGGCTTTGTGCCCAACTTCGGATGTTTTAAGTTTGGTTTGCTCTTGTTCAGATTCATTTGAGCCATTATCTAAGACCTTCTCCTCCAGGGAAGAGCCTGAATAAACAGCAGGAGGAATTACTTGTATCTTGTCATTAACCACCCAGATGGCAATTCCATACTTCCAAAGGAAAAGTATTATTGGTACCACTGATGAGTTATGAAGATGCATATCCGTCCCAGCTCAGACCAACAGCACCACCCTGGTCAGACACTCCGATAGCCTCATTCGGGCCTTTGCTTACCACGCATGCACAACCAACCCAACAAACAGAAAGCAACAAAGGAGCAGGAGGAATACACGAAACTATTTTCTGTATTTGGATTACCATTGTACCATTACATCATCTAGGCATCAGCAGCAGAAGGGTCCAATACCTACTTACATCTGCAAAATTCTTCACGTTCATCTCCCCAACACCCATTCAGCCGCCAAGAGAGGAAGCACACAAGTGCTCCACATTAGCATAATAGTTATTTTTCAGACCACCATCTCAACTGTATTTTTTTCTGCTACACAGACTTAGGAAGAAGCTAGCAGACAAGACTTAATTAACTTAAGATCAGCCATATGCATATTTAGCAATAAACATATTTAGCAATAGTTGGATCCACACACAATTTGCTTTTACAATACACTTCTAAGGGAAGGAATAAAGCGACTTAAATCATCTTTTTCCATGGATCAGCAGGTTTCTACTTAATTGCCTATATATTGCTTCTTTCAGCCAGACTGAAAAAAACTCCAGCAAAATAAGTAAAGACTCTGTGTAGCTCTACGACAGAAGGTGACATGTGAAAAAGATACTTTAGAGTTACCTGTTTTATGGATATTGGGTGAAGATGCAGAGGTAGGAAAATAAGGGACCTGCCCAGTTGTACCATGCAGGATGGATAACACTGGAGTCGGGGCTGGAGGGAGAGGTTGGAGCACAGCCTTTTCGGAAAGCAGTTGCCCAGCCTCAGCAGCAGAATGGAAAGGCTGAGAGGCGGGTTGAGGCACCAGTTTGGGGATTTCAACAGGCCCTTGTATAAAGTCACTAAATTCTTCATCATCGAGAAAAGCAGAGTGGGAAACAGATACAGCAGAATGGGATGATGTGGGATGATCTGTAAAATGGAATGAACACACATCGCACAGTGATGAGGAGAAAGGTTCACAGGTGGAGAGGTGGGAAAAGTGACAAACACTAGGTATACACAGCAGATGGGTGAGGGGAAACAGCAGTGGATGCAGTACTTGACAGAGATGTGTAGAGCTATTGTCAGCATAACAAAGGCGTGAGGTAAAACTGAGCAGCCACTTCCAACCACGCATCTTCTCTCCCAGATTTTTGTGATGTAAACACCTCAACTGAAATTTGACTCTTAGCACTGGCTATGGAAACAGACTGGGTCAAAACAAAGCAAGAGCTAATATTTCAAACTGGACTTCATGAGGGTGTGCACAGGGGGACATTATACCTCGAAGGAGTGTTTTATCCTCAGAAGCTCAATAATATATCATAAAATATATAAGATATATCATAAAATAAACAGACAATCTGCTGTTTGATCCCTTGCATAGTTACCCATTTTAACAGAACTTGCCTAGGATAGGCAAGTCTAAAGGCAACAGGTAATAGTCAGAAACCACCTGTAACTTCAAAAGTATCAAAGAGCAAATCCACAGCACAGATAAAGATTTTATCCAGGAAAACGCTTGTCTAGATAACCTTTGTTTCAGGCTAGACACAGAATAAACTATACTACAACCCACAGGAAATCTTTAGCAGTAATTGTTACAAATGCAGTAATTACTGAGAAGAGAATAGAGAAGGCTTCGGTTTGGCCATGCCCAGCAACGGTACACAAGTAGCTGTTGGAGTACACTGCAGGCATCATACAATGTTTTCATCATTCTTAGCACTCGTATAGCACTTAGCTTCAAAAGCACTCTGCAAAACATTAATTAATGCTTTGACTAGAAAAGAACAAACGCATTATCAATTTCCATGATATTTCACATTAAGCATTCTTTTAAAGATTTCAAGTCTTCTAATAAAGGCTGGTATTTGCTATTTCACCCTCGTAACCTGACCAAGCAAACAGTCACTGGAAGGACACTTTGTTTTACAAAACAGTTAACCCGTTCACTTTGTACCACCAAATAAAAATACTTCTTGGAACTAGTTCCCCCTGCTGAGCATTTCTAACATTTTTTATTTGAGTTTTATTTTCAGTTGGAAGCTGAGAAAAAATGACATACCTGGCTTTTTTGGATGCGATGCTGGTGTTGGGTGCATTTTAGCATCTCTAGAAAAGCCATCTAAATTTCCTTTGATGGCTTCCAAAGCATCATCCCTGCTTTTTTCACCTGTCTGAAACACCAAAGAACACATTTTGAAAAATTCACAGAACAGCTCAGCTTTCTTTCAATATCCACACTTCTTCAGTACAAAAATTAGCAATGCCTGCTGTGAGATTAAACTGTTTCTCCAGCAGTGCCTTGCTGAAGCATATCAACAATAACTCCCATATTCAGAAAGCATTTATTTTGCAGACTACACCATAACAGTGTTTTGCAGTCTTTAGACACAGCTTTATGCACAGGAACAATACACAATCTTACTCAGCTATTTGTATTCTTGCAGATCAGAGCCTTCCAGCTCACTGCAAGCATCCAAAACTTTGGACAAAGTTAACAAACAAGCAACCAAACATCATCTCTTCTAGAAACTCAATCTGTTCCCAAGCGTTACACACCAGGTTGGTTTATTTTTCAAAAGCTGATTTCATTTTCAACACCAGACTTTGTTTACATTACACCGAGTGTGTAAGGACTGACTATTCCAGATGCTTTTCAAGATGTAATCTGATGTCTCATACAAGTTCCCCATTTATTTGCTTGCCAAAAGAGCCCATCCCATCAAAAGCCATTAAAAAAACCTGAAGAAACACCCCCCCCACTTCTTTAGGACATACCTTCGGTTTCACACTGCTTAGGAGTCTCAGCTTTTGTTTCTGCTCTTCAAACTGGCGCCGTTTTCTTTCTTCTTCTAAGAACTTCTGCTGGTGCTCAAACCTCTTCCTGAAGCAAAATGATTGAAAAAAATCTAAAAATAAATTTTCATTACAATTTTCATGGCAAGCTTCTGCTTGACTTTTCCATTTCTTCAGTCTCAAATTCAGATGGCTTGGTGCACACATTTCTACTTTTCCTCAGAGCTGTATGACAGCCGCTACTCACTTCATAGATGGCCTTCAAACGCAAGGGAACGATCTCAACAATATTCTGTAGCCCTAAATGGACTACTTTTCTAGAGAAACTATCAATATTTATACTGTGTGAGCTACGTCTCCAGACTACCCCTCCCACTTCAAAAAGCAGAATTTCCCAAGAGTCAGTAAAGCGTCACTCACTGTTGTTCCTCTGCAAACTGCTTCTGCATGTCGGGGGTGTACTGCGGGGCTGCCGGACGCATTCCCAAGAAAGGAGCCTGTCCCATGTAAGGCATTCCGGTCGCTGGCCTTGGCCCTAAGGGCATGCCACCCTAGAACAAAATAAATCATACAGCTCTAAGGTTTGGGGTTTTTTCTCCCCCGGCACAGAAAAAGTCAAACCAGTGGCAACTGCCAAACTGTGGACCAGGCTGATCTCACAGGCCAGCAGGTTAAGCGCAGCTGGGCTGCTGCAGAGCACAGCGCCGGTCCCGCAGCAGATGGCACTCGTGCCCCTCCACAGCGAGTTACAGTTCCTGAAGGATCGCAGCAGGCAGCGTGGTCGTCATCCTCTTCATGGTCAAACTCAAAAATCCACCCAGCCTACCTCAAGAGCAGGAAGGTTAGAGGCGCCCCGCGGTGCTACACGCGGTTCGATACCAGGCGTCCGGGTTTTGTGTCTCCTATTCTAAGTGACTGCAGAATGCGTTTCCATTCCCTGCTGGAGGTGCACGCTCCCAACCAACAACGGATGCCGGCAAGACGCGGTCTAGGCATTCTGCAAACACAGCTTACGCAAGGGTCCCGGGGAGGGAGACGGCACACGACAACAGCCAAGAGGAGGCTGGTCTGAATAAACTGCAGCTGTACCAGAAACATTTGCCAAGAAATGTGTTCTGGTGCAGTTATACAGCAAAGCTCACCTAATATAGATGGGGCCAGACAATAATTTACTTCTCTTACCATTCATTTTGTATGTGGTATCAGAACACACAGGAAGAATAAAAGTTGTTTATTATTTTTAGACCACCTCTCATAAAAACAACTTCCTACTATAAATTTTACAAAATTAATCTAATAAATTCCAGGTGGGGGTAGGAAAAGGGAGTGTAAGGAGGTGGCAAGATATAATAAATTCAATTTGTCGCACAGCAATTTGGCTACAAATCCATGCCAAGACATTAAATTTCAGCAAAGTGCAAATTTGTACATAAGCACATAAGGTGCTAAATAGAAAACAAAAGGTTAAAAAAGTGAAAACATAATATTAGCTACTCATATGTCATTCTTTTTCCTCAGTTAGCAACAGCAGAGTTAAAGAGAAAGTTACTTTAAGCAAGAAAAAGAATGAGAATGAAACTCGGGAATTAGGACAAACTGGAAAACCGGTCACATGAGAAAATGCAGCATATTTAAGTGATTCCTTGCTCCTCAGAACAAGGTATTTAAAAAGAAAGTTTATTAACTGCTACCTACACTCAGGAAACTTAGTTCTATTGACTCCAGCATTTGAGTTACAAAGTGATAAAACAATTCAGTGAATTAGCCACAATCAATCAGACTGTGCACACAGTTACCTCTTCTCAGCTTATAAAGGTCTCATTTAAAATACTACACAATACGCCACCTTAACCATAAGTACATAAAACCAAAGCAAAGAAGAAAAAGTACAAAGTGAAATTAAAAAGACAGAAGAGGTATGTTGTGGGAGTCTTGAATTATAGTCACTTAACAATTCAACACTATTCAAACCACCCTTTGCAGTAGGTGGCATCTGGTAGCTTTTCGATATCTTGCTGATGCTTTTGCTTCCTTTCCTGTCCAGTGACCATGCGTCTCTTACCACGCTTTGGTGTCACAATCCATATAACGAAATGAAAGTTCAGATTCTGACACCTTCGAGTCGGCTATAACATCCAAGTTACTTTAAGTATCACCGATAGTGTCCTTGCACTATGCCCTCATTCCTCCCTACAACAGTGAGCAACGCACGGCAAACTTCACAACACAGATCCCAACAAAACCTGAAGAATTCTTTAAATTATCAGAAATATCTCCAAAATACGGTGTCCAACTACGGACTTATACCCACGCTTCCGTTTCTAGCCAGGTTCCACCCTCCCACCCCACTGCGGCTGGGAGCGGGCTATGGCATCAGCCGTCACCTTTCAGACGAGCACCAAGGTATCTCATTTCAGTCCCCGTTTCACTGCCACGCACCTGCATGGCCATGGGTCCAGGAGCCATCTGAGAACCGTAGTTCATCCCCATCATGCCTGGCATACTGGACTGCATGACAGGAACCATTGGAAATCCTTGCTGTTGCATAGGAATCATCCCTACAATGAAACATCAAACAAGGTAAGCTCCCAGTTAGTGTTAAAGGTTTTGGCTTTTTCTTTTTTTTTTTTTTTAATTAAACCAGCAAAAGAAAGGAAAAATACTCTGAGTATTGGTGGACTGTTTAAAAAAATTAAAAAATCTGCTACACTGCAGGCAGCCACAGAATTTCCTCAGTTTAGATCCCAAGGATTCTCTGTGGGTTTCTTCCCACGTGATTTTTGAAAGGGTCATGTCCAATTAACGAGATTTAATTAACCAGCTTGACTGGCGCTGATAATTGTCCACTTCTCGTGAAAGGGAAAACTTACAAACTGGCAGCTTTTGAAGATAAGTCTGGGAAATAAACTCCTCACTTCACAAGGCAACTTCACACTCTGCTCTGGCTGGGTAACTTGTCTGTAGGTTAATTAGCCCACTACATGTATTAGAATGGTTACAATATTTGTCAGTAAAATCTAAACATCAACAAAATTGGACAAATCAAGCTGGAATGTATTAATTCATTGAATAAAGTGGATTATGTTTCAGTATTTTCATATCTCATCTTTTGCTATCTTGGGAGACATATACTAACACACATTTATCACCAGCACACTGCGAGATAATTCTAACCGTGCATAACTGAACATCACATGCAAAAGCACTCCAGGAGGGAAGCGACAGACTCAGGAATAATCCCTAAATCAGTTCAAGTTCTCTCTGTATTTTTAATTAATTAAACAGCACTGCAACAGGAATAAGAACAAAGGTAATTTAAGGCTGAGGCTCTCCTATTGTATTAATGCTTTCCACACAGGTTGTGACTCTTGTCCCAGGGTCTTGCTGTGCTTCGTAAATATTTACCAGGTCTTGCAACACCCTCACAATACGGGTATACACAGCTGGTAGATGAAGCATGAAGAGGTTAAATACCACACTCAAAAATAACACAAAAATCTTAAAGGCAAATTCAGGCGAACAATGGAGATATAGTTTTCCTAGGTCTTTCACCTAGCATTCTGGTAACACTGCCTCTTCAACACTGCATAAAAAATGTTATAAATAGAGTTGCAAGAGTCAGCTTCCCAGTAGTGAATTCAAGGGAAAAAACAGCTAGGGAGTTCAATTAATAATCACGCTTCTGAGCGTCAGTGTGGGACTATTTTAAGTTGTTTCGCATATCTAAACAAAGCAAAGAACTTTGTGCTCAAAATGTTAAGTTCATACGTACCTTGAGGGGGGCCTAAACCACCTGCGACAGGAAACATGAAGCTGGAAGAGGAAAAGGGGTACATGAAAGTCTGTAATTCTAGTGCAAATATAAACGAATGCAAAAGCTACCTCGACTTGCATGTCGGCGGCACCACCACCACCCGAAGCCTCCCACCTCACTCCTCTGCTCCTGCAGGTCTCCAGAACCCCAGCCCGGGCAAAAGGCCACCCCTCCCAGGGATCCCCAAAGCAATGCCAGCCCTGCCACAGGCTGCAGAGCCGGGAAGAAACAGATCCTCTCCTTCACAGCAGCACTCAAAAGGCTTTGACTCATCGACATCACCCACCAGAGAGCTCCAGCACCTACGCAGGTTGGTAACAGGTCAGTTTGTTGGTGTAGGCTAGGCCTCCAAGCACAGCAGAATGAATAAGCATCTCCTGCTGGAAGTACCTGATTCAGCACGACCATAAACTGCACCAGACAATAGTTCTCAGCTGCTTAGTAACAACGTTCTGCAGAAAAACAAACTACACGCGAAACCCCACAACTTCTGCGGTTTTGCCCTCTTTGAAACAAGCAGTATCACAAAATAATGGAGTTTCTATTTTCTCAAATATCTAATTACAAGAAAAATAGTGCCATGGAAAAAATATTTATTCAAGTATCAAGGGCCAAGTGCACCTGGAGGGAGAACTGTTAGAATTTCAGCTGAAATCGTAACGGAAATTGCTAGCCTGCACTTTCACACAGAAGCACGTGCTGCGCTGCCAAACGGCGAAAAAGGACCCAGTTTAAAAGTCTCATTTGCAAGCAGCTCTCAGAAACCCACATCAGCAGTAATTTGCCAAACAAGAACCTCACTCAGTGTCCCAGGCAGCTATTACACCAAAATACCATGAAAGAGAAACGCACTTGTAGATATTCATTACTCCTCAGCACGAGGGTGGATGTGAAAGCCACTGCCTCAGAGTAAAGGAGGAAATGCCGCCATGAATGACTGCAGACGGTTTCTCAAAACCTGCGGGAAGTTCCGAAACCCAACCTGCTTTATAAATATAAGAGAGCTGTGTAATCGGAGTACTAAGATAAAATAAGGAATTTAAATTATGCATTTATCCAAAAGTAAATTGCACCTACCCACTACACAGACAGCAGGTTACATGGTCACCAAGACAACCCATGTTACTCTTCATTTCACCCTCTAACTTGGAATCCTCTTTATACTGCACCTTTTTCTTTTACCCTGACCACTGTGTGCTAATTTCTGCTTCCACAACAAACACATCCCTACGCTTCCCACCAGGGCCAGGTCTTACCACCCTCAGTCACCACAATTTTTGCTTTCCCTGTTCGCAGCGCTGTGCAAACGCGTGCTACCCCATCTCAAAACAGGCGCTGGGCTTCTCCGGACTGGGTTCAGGTCACGCTGCGGCCAGGGTCTACTCCACTGACCGGTGTTCAATTCGGTTTAACGCACTTCTTAGCATACAAATATTAGCAACACAAAGACAAAGAGCTGACTGAAGATCACAGAGGGACCCATGGCTGAACTCCGGTGCTGGTCAGAAATGCTATTTTCTCCACTCAGGGGCTGACGCACAGTGAATTAACTGGGGGTTGCCTGCATTTGGTTTCACCTGTGGAAACAGTTGATTTGCCCACGAGGCTCCTCGACAATATAACCCCTTAAAAGATGTGTAGTTTCAGCTGTGTAGAACTTCTGCCATTCTTAGTTCTTCTGAGAACTTCACCATTCTTAGTTTCATCAGAATGATGAAATATTAAAAGTTATTTCTGAAAAGCTCACAAGTAGGACAAGTGCTCATAGCCTTATGTTTTCCTGTCTAGTTGGGGAATACGGTCAACAAGAATTCTTCCAAATTGACAAACGCAATGTAAACTGAAGAAACATAGCAAGGCACCACTGCTTGTCGGAAGCAAATAAAGGCCAGACTATTAAATATTTATCCCTTTCTACAGAGCTCCTGATTTATTTATGTCTCTGTTGAAAAAAAACCCAACACAATCAACAAAAAAAAACCCTGCTGCTAATTAGAGGGCACTGGCAGAAGAGCTCGTTAAAAGTAGCAAAGCAAGCTCCTGCAGCACAGCACGCTACGTGCGGCTCGGACTCATCACGGATCTCACTCCAAGACCGAGCTGCGCCGTTGCCAACGTCAGCCACGCATGCACGTACATAAACCCCATCCGCTCACTTAGTCAAGCAACAGGAACTTTATTTCAAAACCACTTTTTGGAGATGCAAAAGAAATGCCCACACCCATCCAGTCAAAGCAGCTGATTCTCACCACTGAGCAAGTTCAGGTACAGCCACTCCCGAGGTCACCTGAAGCACGACAGAAACCCACTGAATGTGACAGCCACACAGCGACAGCAGCACCAGCAGAAGTAACTTTCTTTTAAAGACAACATTTTAATTCCACTTATCTCAAAATAACGATACTGACAGGAGAATTAAGAATAAAACAGACAAAATTAGAACAGTCTCCCTTCTGAAATGACCAACTTTCCAGACAACTGAAACTTTTATGACCCCAGATGCCTACCATGTACAGATTAGTTGACTCTTATCAAGCAAGCTATTTTAATATAGTTTCTTACTCCTTGTTACTTCCACAACAGTTTAAGTGCACCTGCAGACACTTTGGTTGCTCTCAGCAGCAGAAGCACTTGACCACCTCGGTTCATGCCACAAGCCATAACACTTTGGCTAACACAGTAAGAAAGTGTAATCTATGTGACAAGCAGCACAAGTAAAACAAATATAAGGAAAACACAGCAATTACTCCACAACAGAACTCTTAAAAGTAGTAATACAAACCTGTAAATTCCTACTAGATAAGTATTTCAAACCTGGAGCTTAAAAAAAAACCCAATCAACAAACCAACAGCTTCAGCCAAACTGCAGGAGCATGGGGAGAAGCTGCTCCTTTTCTGCACTCAGACTTCACTATAAAAGCTCCAAACTACACCCAACGTTTTCCCATCTACACATGGATTTTTAAAGCCCTTCATTCCCAATCAGTACAACTCTATCAACACAATATAGACTGTCAGTGTTTCCGAATGGCAGAAATCCATGAAAATTAAAGTGATAAATGGCAAAGAAGCCACATAGACACAGAGAACGGAAATCCTCCTCTACCTCCAGACTTCGTTCTCGAAGAAACCAAAATATCAACAACAGGAAATAATGATTTTCAAGTTGTATTGTTTTGAAACCTATAGTCCACCGATAACATTTTTGTTACTTTCTTATTAAACTGCTGAGCAGTCAGCGCTGCTCGAAGAGGTCTGACGGTTTATCCAGCCCCTCGCAAGAGCCGTTTCAGAATTCTGCACGTGGGGAAACACACAGCGTGCCTCCCACGGCCTGCACAGGCACACATACACCCTTCAGCTTTTCTCTTCCCAGGTATTCCAGACCCCTGGGATGCCCCTTCCCAGCGGGGAGCCGGGAGCAGCTCGGACAGCAGGCAGGTGCACACTGCCCTGTGCCTCGCAGCTGCAGGTCACCCCAGCACAGACCCAGTAACGGTGACAAAACTGTGGGCTTCAGCTACCCAAGGCAACTCAGCAAACTCATTTGTCAAACGCAACATTTGCCCAGGCTCCCTAGAAGTAGGACAACAGACAAATCGCATGCAAGCACCTATGCTAAAAAATAAAAAATACTAAGTTCTCCAAGGCAGCAGAATACAGCTTCCTAACCTTTCCAAAAACACCTCGCCGTGTTCAAACACCTCTTTTACCACTGCTTCTTTCTCCTGACGCCATTCCTCAGTTGTGACTGAAGTGCCCTTTGAGGGACGCAGGGGAAAAGAGAACTCCCCAGAGCAGCGCAGATGGGCAGAGGCTCTGTCCCGCAGCGGCCGCAGACCCGGCCCGCTGGCGATGAGCAACGTTTATCGCTGCCGGCATCAGCGGCACCCCAGCAGGGCCCGC